CACACGAGGTACGAATGTCGATATTTTGTTATGTCTGTTTGTAAGAGACTAAGTCGAGTCGCTACTTTGCATTTTCCCAAACTTCGCCGCCTCCATTACAGCAACTTGCGGAACTTAGGGCGCGGCCATTTTTTCTTTTTTTTGTGTTGTTTTCAATAATATGATAATTGTGAGCTCAAATCTTAGCCGATTCCTTTAAATATGGAACCAATCAATTTGCACGGTGAATCCAGAGGGGACCTCTTGCCTGTATTTTTGATGGCATCACTTCATTTACTATATATGGAAATTTCGGCATTTTTATTTATAAGCACTGTAGCACCAGAGATACAACCGTGGGAAACATCAATTTTTGTTTTGAAACACTGGTGACCATTCCTGAGGGGATCTCAAGGCCAGAATTCATATTTAATCCCTCTATTGAATCAAACAGGTATTTAAACTCATCATATAATTGAGGTGGATTGTTTATGTCATGGGGTGATCACAAACAAATTTTGGCCTCGAGATCCCCTCAGGAATGGTCATCAGTGTTTTAAAACAAAAATCTATGTTTCCCACGGTTGTATCTCTGGTGCTACAGTGCTTATAAATAAAAATGCCGAAATTTCCATATATAGTAAATGAAGTGATGCCATCAAAAATACAGGCACAAGGTCCCCTCCGGATTCACCGTGCAAATTGATTGGTTCTATTTTTTTTTAAATCGGCTAAGATTTGAGCTCACAATTATCATATTATTGAAAACGACACAAAAAAAAGAAAAAATGGCCGCGCCCTAAGTTCCGCAAGTTGCTGTAAATTCCCCTCAAGTCCGAGTCCTCAGTAGTACAGCGACGATTCAAGTGTCTCACTGTTGCTGGCAGGCCATTGCCGTGTCATTACAGACCCTGTGTCAGAAGCCGTGTGAACTTGAATGGGGCTTGTGTTAGTACACTACTGTATAGGGCCGTGCGCCGTCACGGTAGGTTCCGTGCGTGCGACGGGTGGCTGACCCGTTCCGTCGCGCCTTAGAATTTTTTTTCGACGGGAGGGTTTGATGAGGCGACGGCCGGCCTAAGACGACGGACCATAAATTTTTATGTGCCTGAGCGGTATATTACTGTATGGTGTACAGTAGTGGGTATGGGCATTCCCACGCTTTTTGGCGGGGCATCAGCCATCAATCCGTGAGCCGATCCAGTTAGCCGGCCTATCAAAAGTGTTCACAAATTTCGGAACGGTGAACCACTTCAGAGACCTACCTCGGACATTGAGCTCCCTTCATTAGATTGCAAATTCAAGTGTTTTTATCAAAAAATATCCGAAAAATTGTCCCAGCATCCCTGCCTTCTGCACAAGAACTCATAGTGCAGAGGCCAAATCTGGACATGTTTTTTGTCAAAAACATTCATTTTAGGGAGAAACAGGATTTCCGGTGGTTATTTAGCCCAAATGGGCTCGGGAACGTCACTCCCGAAATCTCTTCCGACGTGGTGTGACATGGCCATCAAATGCGTGACACAGCGCGCCAGACTCTCAATGAGAGTCTCAAATGCGTGCCCGGGCGCGTCTCACGTGTTGACAGCATGCCGGATCTCAAGCAACTCGACCCTCGCTATCTATTTGACAAAAAAAGTGTGTTTTGAAGGTGGGTTGTCAAGTCCGGTGACCAAAGGCGGCGGCAGTAGCGCGGGCCATCAAACCCACATCTTCGCGCCTATCTCTCGAGGAAGTTGCAATGATGGATGCTCCTGGGGATGACAAGGGCCACAATGAAGATGTATCTCAAGGTTCCGAGGCTGAATTATATGCCGAGACATAATTTCGATTGACTTGATAGATATTTTATACTGAAAGTGACCTCGGATGTCCTGTACAACTGATTCATATGTTTATAACACATTCTTAAAGTGTTCCAGGGTGCTTGATCTACAAAGTGTGGGAGAACACACGGAGGAAGGTGAAAGTGAACAGAATTCTTGATTGATGTGCTTAGTCAGCTAACATTTGGCTACATCAGACTTGCCCATACCCAACAGTAGAGCGCCGCGCAGCTTTTGGCATGTCGGGAAGACTTCAATACATGTGATCTCGTTCAAGCACGCAAGGCACAATTCCCGCACCTCTTTCGTTTGGCTCGTCACATTTTAACTATTCCTGGTGAGTTTTCATTGTGCTGACCTTGGGGTTAAACATTTTAACATTCTCCAGATTTGGCTGTCGCTGTTAAACGTGCTTTCGAGGACGCAAAACTTCCATCTCGCTTCATAGGGCGAGTTTGAAGCCAGACACCATAAGCACCTAAGGACCTTGATGATGGTAAAGCAGCGCCTTCGGCTTGCTCGCAATGCAGTCAAAGAGATCCTCATAGACGCGTAGAAATAATTTAGGGAGTTCATTAACGTTCATTAGTTGCACCTCAAACTTAGGCCCCGGGAAGCTCCTTATAAGGTAGGTCCGGCTCCTACTAACATTTTACGTGTCAGTAGAAAAATATTATGTAAATCCTAATAGACAGAAAGTTGCGCAAGGAGGTCTAGTATGCCCTCCCAAGAAGGCTAAGGACCACGCCCAGCCGTTGGGGAGATATTCTTGATTTTTTGAAAAAAAAATAATCTCGAAAGGTCCCTCAAATCCGCTATCAATTTATGACGTAAAACGCCATTTTCCCACGGATTAGGGCCACTTTGGCGGCCAACTGGGGCATAGGCATGTAGCAGCAACTGAGGCGGAGGCCCTCGTGATAAAATCGCCTCAACCCAAGGTCTGTGGAGAGCGCAAAAGCAATGCGATCAAAAAATCATTGCGGATTTGATGAGGCCGACTTACCTTTTGACAGCTTCCCGGGGCCTTCAAACTTGCTTAGAAATTATTTTTGTAATTGGGCTGTCTCAGTTTTCACTGCACTGAAATCATCTTGTGAGGCAGACAGATCTTCGCCCACCGTCTGCCGGCGACGGCCGTTCCGTCGCCCGTCTCGTCCCGTAGAAATCTTAAAACTCAACGACGGGACGGAGACCGGACGGGTTTGCCGGTTGCCCAACCGCCCAAGCCGTGTGCTAGCGAAAAGTGATGCACAGTACTAAGCTTGCTCGTCACTGGTACTAGAGTCTGGGTAGCCGAGATTAACGCACATCCCGGTGGCCAACGGCCGAGTGTGGGCGCACTGTCACGGTATAGACAACCTTGCGCGCCACTGCGGCGACTTCTGGTCCCCCAGCATGGTCAGCGCCGCGGGCGGGGTCCGCGTCAACGTACACTGTTCCGTCAGCAGATCTAGTACTAGTACAATCTAGAAGGAGTGGGAAATGCCGACGTCGACTCGGAGTGGCGCAGACCCCAGGCCGCGGAAACTGCGCTGCGCGCTAACCGAGTACCTGGTGGCCGATAGTAGATTCCTGGTCGAACAGCTAAAAATTGAAGACACTCAATTTCAGGTTCATGTATGAGAATGATTGAAGACCGCAATCCTCACTTGTCGCTCGTGCGCTGGACGACTCGGACTCTGGTAGTAAAACACACCAGTCCTTTGATCTTTCTAACGTTAATTCATTATGCGGCGATTGGAAGAGCGCGGTGCTCACTCCCCGTTCGAATCTAGCTCGCGGCCAATTTCTTAACAATGATGCTGCACTTGCCAGTGCCGAGATCACTCGTGTCAGTGCCGGTATAAAGTGAAATTACTGTAAAGTCAAATCCTTATATGTTGTCCGCAGATAGAATAAATCAACCGAGAAAGGGTCGCGGAGCTCAAGAATTTTTGAATAACACAACACTCCTTGTAGGCCCGATGATGTCTGTCCGCTCTCAAAGTTGGCTAAATCACTTCAGGAAGTTCTGATATATTGTCTGGCTTGTTATCCATTCTGTGAGTAGCCCAGCGGGAGGAATTGGATATGGGAGAAGGAAAAAATAGCCTGATAGACCGAAGTAAAGCAAAACAGTATGACAGAGGTAAATTTCATAGAGTAAAACAGTTAAAGAAATCGCTCCAGGTATACTTCATTTATCGAATTCTTTGTCCGTATCTAAGGAGGCAAGGGAGGAACGTTCAACAAAGGCTCCCGAAGCCACTGCAAAGGCCCAGGCCAGCAAGCCGCAGAAGCAACTCCGCCTATTTTCCCTTTTCTACATAACCAGTCTCCCCCAGAAGGTAGCCAAGCGACGCAGAAGTTCTTTCGGAAGGCCGTTGGTTAAACGGCGGTTTAATCACGCGCTTAAATAACGGTTTAACTACGCTGTTAAACGGTGGTTTAATCGCAGGGTTAAACAGATTGTAACGAACCTTTGAATAACGGTTCAAGTTCATGGTTAAACATGTGTTAAACGTGTATAGTTCAACAATAGATGTTCATGGTTTCAACGTGGTTAAACCACCTTGGTTGAACTCAGTTTAACCGTTTTCAATCATATGTGCAGACTGGCCCACATTTAATGATTCAACCAACCCCGCCGGCGGTCTAACCAGTTGATGGTTTCCAACTTCTCGTCTGGGTTACTTTCTTGCAGTGGGAATGACTCTAGTATGTTTTGTTTGCGAATGCATGCATCCATTGGCGCTCGCGAGACTGCCAGTGGATTGGCATCATGTTTCGGCATCCACTGAACGGCCTGCATAATGTGAGCGGTTCAAATGTCGGGCGTCATATATATATATTCAAACCACGCTCCTGACAGTTGCAATAACCCCTGTACCTAGACATACATATAATCAACAAGTTACCAAAAGCCAATGCCACCTGATGGTGTATTGGTGCACAACTGCCGCATATCACTGTGAAATCCACGGCCATATTCAAGTGAAACTTAAGTGAGATCCACGTACGACTGTGCGTGAACAATTTTCGTGAATTTCGGGGTCATCTCCGACCTCAGTGTCCAGTGCTTCCGCTTCAAGTTGAGCATGTGTAGTTGGCAACCAGTGTTGCGGAGGAAGATTCCATTATCGTCCGCTCGTCCTTCATTGAACCTTGATTTACGGCTCAGAACAAGAAAAAATGATACTGATTGGCGCCATATCACCCGACCCCGGATCGAACGGGGGCCTCTTGCTTAATACAGTATAAGGGCAGTTCCTATAATCTCAACTGCAGCAAGTGTGCACCATGCACCATCGGGTGATGTGCCCTGTTAATTTTAATTAGCTCAAGTCGGACTGGGTGCAGTCTCACATAAACCTGCCAAGTATTTGCAACTATGCTGATCTGCAACAAAAACTCCAATCGGAACATTGGAAACCGAGTCGAATGGGGATCTAGTGCTCATTGACCTGCAACTCAAACTCCATACAGCCGCTGTGCTCACCATTTCAAATACACCATGGAGTGGACACTCACTACCTTTGCACTGGTAGGTCGGCGTGCGCAGCCCGCAGGCCGCTGTGCCCAAATTTCAGTGCCAACAAAATTGATTAACTCGCAGGTACACGACCCATCGTCACGAGGACGACGAGTTCAGGACACCGTGACGGCGACGGTTGTCAATGCCATTACCATGGAGTCGAAGAGCCCGGTCTATTCCGATCCAGAGATGTTCACAAAGTCGAAGAACCCCGACCGAATGTTTGGCACTCTCCCCGCGGAAATGACATGTCACATCCATGGTTTTCACCGAGCAACCCGATCGTCCGTGCTTCTCATGTAATTTCATTGGTTCTTACAGGAAATGCAAGTCGGGGTCTGCTCGTCGACTCCAACTCATATCGGTCCATCGTACCATCAGCCATCCTGTTCTCAGTGGACAGCCTGCAAAGCTCCATCGGGCAGTGTTTCGCGCAGACAGACTGAGAGACCATCTGCCTTCGCGAGCCTGGTCCGCACGTTCGAGACCTTCGTCCTCAAGGATTCGGATCTGCGTGCCGCGCCGCTCGAAGAGCAAAAATGCACGATATAAGCTGGAAGGCTGGCCTGATGATACTGCTAGCCTGCGCAGGAGCGATTAGCATCCTGTTGACACCCACGAAGAAAGGTTTCAGAGATTTAGTCAATTTTCAAGTCATGTTCAAGGCAAACATGTCGTCAATAGTTTTACAAAGAATGCGCAATCTGCTCCTGCACTTGGTAGTTGAAGATCGTGTACGTGTGTTTCTTCTGGGCGTCGTTTTCAAAGTCTATTTCGTCTTCGACTTCAATCCCCCGACCGATCAGTTCATCGACTTCAGCCTTGTTCATATTGATGCGAAGTTTGAGCTGATTACCCTGGTCCATTCGGATATCGTTGTTCATCATCCTGGTGGAACCAAGATAATGTCAGGGGACAGTACCAAAATATCGAAGCAGAAACGCACTGCCTGAGCTCCTCAAACGACAGAGGTGTTTCATACTCCCCGAACATCGAAGAAAAGCACTTGATTGGGGTAGGGTCTTTCGCTCTTTGCACCATGTTAGGATGAATCATCAGCGGGAAAGCACAGTGTGCGTCACGGAGAGCGAAATCGCAAATGACGATTGGTGACTTCGCGAACCCTGCTTTGCTGGACTCCTCTCTTGCCTTCTTCCACGCCTCCATCACCTCGGATAAGTCTCCGGATACGGCATAATGTTGTACAGTTGGAGCATGCCTTCGACCGGTTTTTCAGAAGGCTTGAAGCCGCCCATAGCCATTTGCATGCTTACACCCATGTCAGCGGGCACGACCTCGCACCTGATCCGAACCATTCGTGGTTGACCCGCCCAGCTACATACCCATTCTTTATCGGGTCCCAAAGTGAAGTCATCATCGAACTTGATAGCTAAAAGGAGCGCTACACGGTTGACCAGGCCCGTTTTACGAAGGAGCGCTTGGACGAGCTTCGCTAGACGCTTTTGGTCGGACGGGGTGGTGATCGAATCGGATGGCTTGCATGCTTTCTTGTGACATTTCCTAGAAAAATCGCCGTGAAGGTGTGGGATCGAGGATCGCGTAGAAACAGGACATACCAATCCTCACGTTGGCACTACATAGTGACCGGATGCAAATAAGCCATGAGCGAATTTCTCGACATCGTTCGGTAATTAACATACCTCTTTCGAGCAATAAAACACAGATTGACACTTGAAAGAAAATAAAGCATCACTCTCCCCGTCTGGAAAAAAAGTAAATCACCCACCTGCGAACATTTCTTCAAATCGGTGCCATCAGGTGGCGGTTTGGCACATTGCTGGCAAAGGTCGACTTTCTCGGGTCTCTTGGCTTTCTGTGCTGACCAGCCGGGGTTTGGGTCGACATCTACACCATTCTTTTCTCCAAAAGCTTCAAGCTCTTCCTGGTTAGCTTTGATTGTGACGAACGGGATTCGACGACCGTCGAGCTCGATCGGCATCAACTGATGAGGTCAGGAGCAAGTTTGAAGAAGTCTGCTGTATAGCACCATGTGATATCACGCGCACGTGTAGGTCACGGCGATTAGAGGTCTCTAGATCTGGTTCACCGAGAATATATTCAATAGTATGATGTAGCGATTCAAGATATGTAGTCCAATATGAAACGCTAATCAGTGGCAATATTTATTCCCGAAGTCTTATTACTTATATGCCGTTGTGCAACCGAGGGATCAATCCGATGGGTAGCACATGCCGTCAGTTGCAAGAAAATAAAAACCGGACGGCGGACACCCTGCGAACACGGAACAAAAGTGAACGTACTCCCGGCGCGGCAATCACGATATCACATGTGACATACTTCAACTGTTTGCTTCCGAGTCAACCAATCACATGCCTCTGAATCACACATCTGTGTTTCGTAACTATGTTAGGTTTACATGTCGGGTCAGACAGTGCTACCGCTGACATGCGGCCCGCGTGTATGGGCTTCCAGATGTTCATCCCAATTTCCACCTATTCCACTACGCTCACCATCCTTTGAAGACATTCATCGATGCACGCGTGGCCCGGCGTGGGTGCCAGTGACACACGTATATACGGTATCTCGCAGTTCCTGCCAATGGTTTAAAAAGTGGATCGGACGAGTCAGACGCGTCGAACATGGGTTGGAAAGTTGATTGTGGGGGCAGTGCGCTGGAAGCTCGTATCACAGGAGACTCGGTGGCACGAAAGAGAAACGCAGGAGACAACTTTTTCACTCAGATACATGCATGTAATTTTTTTTTGAATATATTTTGCTATACAATATATGTATATCTTTCCTGGAAGCTGGAGATTCGAAGCAATGATAAATGCTGAAATTGAAGTGCCCATGGCTCCTCTGTCTTTCTGGTGTTCATGCACCAGAATCGAAGTGCCATGGTATCTGGGGCTTTTTTGAAGGATCATATATGTACAAGACGAGAAGGAATAAAGTAGCTAGCGGTCGGGGAAATATGATGGGGGGCGTATTCAGATAAAGGGTTGGGAAGGTATCAGGTATGTGGTTAGCTATTTGGTGTGAATTATGAGCGAGATTTGAGAGGATTATTCAGTAGTGTAAGATATACTAAAAGGAAAAGAAAAACACGAGATAAAACAAGAACTCAGCAAAAACGCCGTGAGAGGGAAACAAATTTGATGACAGCTTTCAGGAGCTTTGGGTTGTTGAGGAGGTTGCGAACATCCACCGCGCCGAGAACTCCGAGCCGGTGATGGCAGGCGAAGTGCCGCCATTGCACCGCCTTCTGATTTTTGAATGCCGCTCTTCCCAATCGGGCGCGTGAGCCGCGATTCGTTGGTCCCGGGAAACTCGCTCTTTGCGCTCTGACTCGGTGCTTGCCATAATGATGTTCGCTTCTCGCTATTTGTACAGTTTCGTTATGTTTCCCGCCAAGCGACATGCATGATGCTATCTGAGCGGGATGGCTCTTTTTCCTTACTCGGCCGTGTATGTCGGTGGATGGGTTGTCGGCTTACCTGAAAGGCAGGGATTCTTTATTCCGACTTATTTTTGGCATCCCACCAGATTGAATGGTGGCTGAAATCTGAATTCGGCAAGCTTGGACGGGGTGCAAACTCCGGGTGACGGGAATGCGGTTGGTGGGAAGACTCGGTGAGCAAAAGGAGTTGCGCCGGCACTCTTGTGGTTATGACCCTGGACCCTGGTTCGAATCTGAGACAGTTCACGCAAGGTAAACACGGATTTTTTGTCCGCTGGTTCGAACATGAGCTTCGTAGGGCGGTTAAAAATCTAGTGGCAGAGGAATGTGTCCAGGCAGCCTGTAAGGTTGTTGAATCTATGAGATGTGTATCCGTCACAGAGGCAAGCCTCGAATAGCCTTCTGTCTCCTTGCTGAGAAAGTACGCCGCTGTGTATGATTCAGAAAAGACCGATTGGCGACACCTCAAGGATGTGTTCCTTATCCGGACCTCCTTGTGGGTTTAAACCGATGGAAGCCTTACAATCCACGGAACTTAACAAGGCGCTGAATTCCCGCGACCCGAGATAGAAATCGGCCGTCAGTGTTTCAACAATAGTTGCACTTTATGTTCCCGAAATGAATATGCTCGCCCGTGACAGAAATCTTCGGCGAGCGGTGTGCCTGAGCGAAAGGGCCAGATATAGTACTGATTCTATTCTACTTTCATGAGTTGATTATTTTAGATGCCGATTGGACGCCGGTACAGTATATATATACTCCCATCCCATCTCAGACCAAACAACCAACAATGTTCAATAAGCTCAGGCTGCTCCCGACTGTAACTGCTTTTCTTGCTATCCTCGTCCTAGGACAGGGCGCCGTGGCCCAACTTGAAGAAGGTCAAGAGTGTACGTTCATTTAATCATTCACGAGTGGATGTATTGCCGACTGACCCGACGGCGGGTGTAGGCTCAACTCACCCGAATGTACCTCTTTTCCCTCCTTATGGCTCTGAATGCATTATTGACGCTCCAATTATTCCTCTTGTAGGGAGAGTCCGGTCTTCCTGGACTTGAATGTACGACGTCTACTCATCATTCTTCGGACTGACCTGATGCTACGTCCATTGTCCAGGTCCATCCGGCTTCGAGTGCTGCCCGTCGCGTGCCATCGGCTTGTGAGTCGATTCCGAGTCTCCTTTGCGTGGTTCATGGCAATGATACATCACTGATTAGTGGACGTTGCATGCCGTCTCCGTGCCCTACATTCTCAGGATTCCCGGGCCCCATCTCCACTCCTCCCTCCGAGTCTGCCCCTGCGTAGATCACAACCACAGACTGCCGGATGGGTGGGCTTGAGTATATGGATCGCTCAAATGTACAGTCTTGCATCGATATTGCGCGAATTAATATTCCTGGATAAGTTTCGATGAACAACGAACGAGTGCAGTCGTCGGCGTTCACCAGTTCCACAACTCATCCTGTCGTTCGAAGCGTGACGCCTTGGACGAAGAAAATAGTAGGCGGTGGCCCGCCATGTCGAAGCTCCATCTTTTTTAGATATCTGAGATTGTGTGCCAGGACCAACAAGTACAGGCTAAGAATTGATTGAATTCTTTATCATCTAAATTACAGTATCATTAAATTAATTTAGTATCTGCGAACGGGCCCCGGGGTGCCACCCGCGTCTAGATCCACATTTAAATTCAAATTAGCTTAGGTCATAGGTCTTCCGACGTCGTTATGTTATGTTATGTTATACAAAGAGTTCCGCGCGGGAAGGCCCCCCCGAATCCAAACTTCCCCGCTAGCGGCGAATTATACCCACTAAGAGGTACCTCTACCACGTAGCAAGAAAGTCAGATATACAGGAGAAAATACAGACGAACATTTCCCATCACTAGCTATCTGCTTCTGTGCCTGAATCGTCAATCTCTTCTCCTTCGAAGGCAGGCTCGTCTTCCAGCAATTCGGTGGGCAAGACGTGCCCAAACCAACGCCAGGATTTTGACACTTTGTGTACGAAGCGAGCCATGGGAACAACATGGTACCAATGGAAAATCAACTGTCGCAGTGTTACACGTGTCTCTGCGTATGACTTCGGTAGGTCAAGCTCGTAGTGGAAGTCGAGCCGCAAGCGCTCCTTTAATTCTTGCCGTGCCTTACAAGTTTCTGCGTCTCTGCATAGCAGCAAGACGTGTTCGGGGGTCTCTACATCCTGACTGCATTTCCGACAGAGCCGGTCGTGGAGAGGGACGTTGCTTCTGATTGTTTAGGGTATCATAGAACGTCGGTCACAGTTGCGCCACAAGCTGGCAAACCGTCTGAATCCCTGCAGGCGGCCTTTCTCGTGATTGGCTTTCGCCGAGCAGACCGATTGTCTTTCATTATTAGTTTAGTTTGCTTACGAGGCAGGTACCAAGTTTTTTGGCCTGTGCTGTGTAGACGCATCCGTTCGCCACACAATGTAGATGAGGGCACACGATGAGCGTCGAGCGACAAAAATGCCCACTACTGTAGCTGATTTGAACAACTGATCTTGTCATCATGCTTTTTTTGTTATTCGTGATCATGATGCAGGTGACACGCCTTACCACTGGGCCAACCGGGCAACAGATAACATTTGACATGAATCAAGGTAGTCTCTTATAAGCAGACATAAGTAACAAAAGTATCATACTCGTACCTCGTGTAGAATCAAAGTGGCTCTAATGGACTTGCAGAGAACTGAACAAATCACTCGTCTTTCACGCTCCGGGCGCGCGGTCGCGGGTGAGGAAACGCTGACCGACACCTTTCTCGACATTTGAACCCTGATTTTCCAACAATGTACTATTAACAATGCATAAATGAACTTTGGCAAACGGAAGCTGGTGTTTCTGCATCGCGTGACGTGCCGATTGCGGCTGCCATCACGGCAAGGGCGGAGGCGTTGCCGTGCAGATCCGCGGCCACGTGCACTATTAAACAAGACCGCATTTCAGCACGACGGCGTGCTTGCGCTTCTTAGCGGGCCCGACTTTGCACTTTAGGCTCGGCGAAGCTTCTCAGCTCTGGTGGGTCCTCCATGTTATCACCGTTGCTAGTGACGATGCGTGCTGACCGTCGTGTACCAACTCAGAACAAGAAAAAATGACACGATTTACGACCCTCAAATCACCCGACCCCGGATCGAACGGGGCCTCTTGCTTGACACATGGCAGCATAAATAAATATCAACTTATGCAATGCACCATGCACCATCGGGTGTTGTGCCCATGATTGAATCTTGATTATATGAAGCTCAAGTCGGACTGGGTGCAGTACTGTATGTACTGATCTCATTTTAGGGAAGCACAGGTCCACAAGTATAGAGTAAATGTCCTCTTCATGCCGAACGACGCGCGACCATAGTCTCCGCGAACATGCCAGTTGCCGCCCGGCGAGAGGTGACTTAGCCATGCTCAAGCCGCACGGGATATCCGCGGCCGGCGACTAAATCTTGGTGTAGCCGTCAACGAAATGCTGGTCTGTCTCCACCTTGGTCGCTGAATAGCCACTATTATTGAATAGGGCTCATTGAAATTGTGCACTAAACCTGCGACGCGAGCGGGGCGATATACTGTGGGAGCCGCGCCAGCTCGCTTCGGGCCTACACGTGTGTACTCTTTCAGGAAAGCAGTGGATGATCATGATCATTATCATTATCAAGGCTTATACTTACTATTAGTATTGCAAAAAAAAAAAAAACTGTACCACATGTTCCGAGGTTGCTCGGCTGCACGCAGATACACTTTACCCTCCAGCCGTGAATATGACCTCAAGTCCGGCAGACTCTAAAGCTTGCAACACACCCGGGGAGAGGTGAAGATCGTTTGTGGGACAGCACAACTGCTGCAGAACAGGCCGCCGGCTTGCATGCAGCGCCAGTACATCCGCGTCGTCGAGCCGCCAGCAATCTTGTAGCGAAAGGGAACGAAGGTCAGGAACGATGTCGCGTGCCAGTGTGGCTAGCGCATCAACAACCTCCTTGGAAATCCCACAATCAAGTTCGAGATACACAATGTACCGTGCACACGGCGAGTCGAGAATGGTGAGCAGCTCGCGCAGGGTCGCATCAGCCAAATGGATAATGAGGTGAGTAAGTGTGCAGGAAGAGTGGCCGAGAAGTTGATTGATAGAGGACAGGTGCTCGAACCTATATTGCTCTGAAAAGGAGAACTTCTTGAGGCGTGGAGCTACAAGGACCTTTGCCAACTCATCGACGAACTCTGGATGGCAAATTTCGATTGAGAGTGCAGATATGGCCGAGTGGACGGGTGCTTCCAGTGTGTCCGCCATGTTATCAAGGCCACACCTCCAAAGTGTAAGTCGCGTGTCAGGCGAGAACAAGGGGAGTATCGGAAACACGCCGGTACACGTCACTAGCGTGCACGCAAGCAGCTGAGGCCAAAGTGACTTGTACGCATCAGGGATTCGCCCGTGATACAACTGGAGTGTCAGGTCCACCAGTGCTGGAAGCGACTGCGCAAACTCGGCGGCATCGTCATCGTCGCAGATTGGGTCTTCGAATTGGAGTGTGAGCTGCGTCAACATGGCGAAGTCGGATCGATGTTCGAAAAGACGGTTGTAGAATGTTTGTCCAACTTGAAGCGTGGCTATTTGCCACCGACACGACACCTTCAACAGCACGTCGAGGAGATCGACATTGCTGAGGTATCCCAACAAGCGTACAGAGAGTGGTGTCTCACCCGACCGCTGGACCTGCAGAGAAACAAGTCGCCTTAAATCCACATTTTCCATCCATGGCTCGATGTCATCATTGAAGGTGAAGTAACGCCACAACGACGGGGAGGCCAACGCGACCGCGCGCCACCGAGTGCAGACTCTGATGACACTCGAGAGGGCAGCATCCGGGTGACATGGTGGGAGTGTGGGGTGTATACAGTGCGAGAATATTTCGAACAGAATTTCGTTTGGAAAGCGCCTCAAGCCGCACGCGACGCCGCGGTGGGAATCGACAAATTCCTGGAGGGCTGCGTGCTGCGACGTTAACCGCGCGATTGTGGCTTTCAGTCGAGCTAGCTTTTCCTCGGCGCCTTGAATTAAATTGCGAATTTCGTGGATCTGAGAGTCGTCGCGAGGAGCAAGATTATTGGAGACTAGGTCGACACAGGGGCTTTGGGGAGGTTGCGGTCTCGCATCAGTGCAATGTGCCATACAGAGATGGGTGCATTCATTGCTGCGCATGCTGGAAGTAAGCATATTTTAGGACGACGACAACGAAGACATACTTGTCCGACATGGTGGTTCGCCGCCAACCTGTGTGACCCCTGTGACGTCAAACTGACAATCGAGTCGCCGCCTCCGTCGAATTCCCCGTTTCCCACTGGCAGTCGGCAAGATGGCGTCCCCGCCCTTCCAAACACTCGTCATTGCCATCTCCAAAAGATTTTCGACGATGTCTCCTGGCACACGGCAAGATGGCGTCCCCGCCTTTCCAAACACTCGTCATTGCCATCTCCAAAAGATTTTCGACGATGTCCCCGGCACACCAATTCGTCGTCTCGTGTTTCTGCCGCCTCCAAGTCCTCACAAGCAGGTGCCGGCGAGTCTCGCTGTTGCTGTCAGCTCATTGCCGCTTTACAGACCCTGCGTCCTTGACCGCCAGACAGAGCCGTGTGCAAGCGAAACATCCCGGCGGCCAACTGTGGGCGCACTGCATAGACGTTGTGGCACGGTTGTGCGCCACCGCGGCGACTTCTGGTCGGACTCCCCATCATATTCAACGCCGCAGACGGGTCTACGTATACGATCCGCTGTTCTGTCAGCAGGTCTACATTGTAATAGGAAGGAGTGGGAAATGCCGAGTGGCGCAGACTCGCCGCAGAGCGCCCAGGTCGCGCGCAGCGCGGCCACCTTCAAGGTGGCCGATAGTAGATCTCAGGTCGAACAGCTACTAAAATTAAAGACACTCAATTTCAAGTCCATGTATGAGATCGTCCCCATGAGGAGCGTACCCAGCAGCAGCTGATATTTCTAACGTTAATTCGAACGTTATGCGGCAATTGCCAGTGGAAGAGTGCGGTGCTCATTCTCCGTTCGGATCTACCGATACTGGTAGCAGAATTATGGTTCGCGTCCACGTTCACAACCACGCGGCGTTATATGTTGTCTCCCGATAGAATAAACACGACACTCCTTGTAGGTCTCCGCTCTCAAATTTAAAGTGGATAAATCACTTCAGAGAGTTCTGATATATTGTCTAGCTTGAAATACAACCTGTGAGTAGCCCAGCGGGAGGAATTGGATATGGGAGAAGATAAAAATATCATGGTAGACCGAAGCAGAGCAGGGCACGGACGCTCTACGCTTCGCCTTTCAACAGCATTATGTTGGCTTTACGTAAAACGCTTTCAGACAGTTCTGTGAGACGTCCAGACGAGGCCTAGTGTACTCCGTCAGAGTCTGGCCCTCGACTACACAGCATTGGGGCGATTCAAGCATTTCGGCTCGGGTTTCCCGGTTCCCATCTGCCAGTGTCCCGTTGTTCCCACTCTCACGGTGGCGGTTGCGTACCTTCAATACTCCTTGAGCCAATGCCCGACCTGGAGAAGGATCACTCGCTTAAGGCTGGCGACGAAGCGAGTTCGATCAGCATGTGGTCCAGAATCGTACTAGTGGTCGCAGTCCATTTTCGCCGAGAATTTAAAACGATAGGGCATAAAAATACATATTACATTGGTTTTGAATTATGTACGGGCGCTATTGGAGAAGGTAAAACACACAGCCCTGCAGGGCGCCCGGAGTAGCAACACAGGTGCGTGCTCAGAAGGCGCAAGGGAAAGCCAGCTCCGAAACGTGGGCGCGGCTCACAGAGGGAGCGCGTACGGGCTCACGCGGCGCAGCTTCCGGTTGCACTCGCCGAAGAACAGCGCCGCCTGCGAAAAGCGCCCGTCGGGGGGGCTCTCCCACCCCGCCGTCGCCGCCGTGCGCGACGCGATCGACCACGGAGCCTGGGGGCGCCGTCAGCGCGCGGACATCAACCACGGCGGACAGACACACGCTGAGCCCGGGCCCGAGGAACGCGTAGTCGCGCTCCTGGAGCCCCTGGGTGATCCTGGCGATCTCGTCGACCGCGACGTGGCTCTTCCGGCGCGCCTCGGGCTGCGTGTCCGCGAAGAGGTTGTGCAGCTCGACGAGCGCGGCGAGCGCGGCGATGCTGCACAGCTTGAGCGTCGGCTGCGCGTCGTGCAGCGCGGGGATGTAGGACACGTCGAGCGCGACGGTGTTCAGGAAGGCGAGGTGCGCGTGGATGTCGTCGATCAGCGTGCGGTAGCGCTTTGACCATGCCGGGGGCACGGCATCGCCGAAATTCCAGCGCCGCCATGCGGCGACCAGCTGCTGGCTGTCCGTCAAGAACATAAAGCTCTTCGCGCGCAGGAAATTCGACGTCGTTTCGGACGGATGCTCGCTCTGTAGAATGAAAACATCAGATTAAAATTGAATCCAACCAACGGAACGCACCGCCAGTCGCCGGAATGCCGCGACGACCTGCGGGTCGATGCTTGACGGGAACTGGAACAGCAGGATCGCGAGGATGTCGAGGTACACCAGTTGCGCCAGCGCGGC